GGAAAATATTTTTATCAACTTGTTAGTCTGTGAGCATGAAGTCAGGAGCATTTTAAGTCTGTCTGGGTGAGTTTGTAAAAAGTCTTCACAAAAATGATTAATTTTTGAGTCTTGAAGAATGAGTGTATGTTTCCAAGGCCAAAAGAAAAAGAAGCCACGTCTGTTGTGGAGAGATGGGCAACTTCAGTTGTTCAGAGGTGAGAGACATAGCACCTTTGAGGAACTGCAAGTAAATTCATTTAACTGGAAGTTGTAGATTTTATCTAAAGGCAATAGAAAAATAATCGCAGAGTTAAAAAAAATTTTAATAGACTTTATTTTTTTAGCTGCTTTAGGTTTACAGCAAAATTCAGTAGAAGGTACAGAGATTTTTCTATATACCCTCTGCCCCCACACATTATATAGCTTCTCCCATTATCAACATCCCTCACCAAAGTGGTACATTTGTTACAGTGGTACCTATTTTGACACACCATTATCACCCAAAGTTCAAGTTTACATCAGGGTTCACCCTTGATGTTCTACATTCTGTGGGTTTGGACAAACATAGGATGACCTGTATCCATGATTATAGCATCATGCAGAGAAGTTTCACTGCCCAAAAAGTCCTTTGCTTTGCCTGTTCATCCTTTCCTCCCTCTTAACCCCTGGCAACCACTGATCTTTTTAGTGTCTCCATAGTTTCCCTTTTCCGGTATGTCCTACGGTTTGGAATCATGTAGTGTATAGCCTTTTCAGACTAGCTTCTTTCACTTAACGATATTAATATGCATTTGTTTTCCTCCATGTCTTTTCATGGCTTCATGGCTTATTTTGTTTTAGCATTGAATAATATTCCTTTGCCTGGGTGCACCAGAGTTTATATAATCTGTCTGTCTACTCAAGGACATCTTGATTGCTTCAAGTTTTGGCAGTTACAAATAAAGCTGCTGTAAACTTCCATGTGCAGGTTTTTGTGTGGACATAAGTTTTGAGTTCATTTGGGTAAATACCAAGGAGTGGCTATTGCTGAGTCATATGGTAAGAGTATGTTTAGTTTTGTAAGAAACTGCCAAACTGTCTTCCAAAATAGCTGTGCTATTTTGCATTCCCACCAGCAATGAATGAGAGTTCCTGTTGCTTCACATCCTCGCGAGCACTTGGTGCTGTCAGTGTTTTGGATTTTGGCCATTTCAGAAGGTGTGTAGTGGTATCTCATTGTTTTAAACATTGAAGAATTTTAACATGGAAGTTACACCACAAATTTGTATGTCTAAAAGGTCCATATGAAAACACTGTGGTTCTTTAAAAGGAGTGGAGGCAGAACAAGAATGATTGGTTATGAATCTGTGTGGTGATTTAGCTAGACACGAAGAGGACCCTCACGTTGGCCCTGCCAGTAGGGATGGGGAAGAGAGAGATTTAAAAGGTACTTAGAAGCCAAAATGAAAGAACTCTGACTGGAAGTGTGTGATGAGGAAGAAAGGAGTTTATCAATTGCGAACACCTTTAGGGGACATTTGGAAATGTGTAGGGGTGTTTTTTGGTTGTCATAATGACTGAGGGTTTCTTCTGGCATTAGATGGGTGCTAAATGTTCTTCAGTGCATAGGGCAGTTCTTGACAATGCGAAATTGTGTTTCATTGAGAAACACTGTAGGGTGATGACATTGAGAGAAGAAATAAGCAGGTCTGTAGAGGAAGATAATGAGTTCAGTTTGAGCTCTGTTGAATTTGAGCTGTTTATGGATACCCAGTTGAAGTTGTCCATAGGCAATTGGATATATGGATCTAAAATATAGAGATACAAGTTTCAAGATTTAGGAGTTGTTAAAGACAATTTAAGTGTCTAATGTGAAAAAAGGCAAGGGTTTGAAAAATCTACAGGGATTATAAGTGGTTCTTGCTGACACACGGTATCACAGAACACCAACATCAAGTGGATGAATGGAAGAAGGGGACCCAGTAAAAGAGAATGAGAAAGACAGGACAGAGGGAAAATAGAGTGCTATCATTAAAGCTGAAAGAAGTGACCTTTCCATCTAGGAGGCATATTCAATTTTGTCTAATATGGCGGACAGCCAAATCAAGGAATAAAAGTGTTTATTTGGTAGAGATTACTTTCAATCTAGTTTATGGAATTAAAAAGTGTGTGGGAGGTTAGGAAATGGGCAATGAATGTAGATTACAAAAAGTTAACCTAAACCTTCATACATGATACACATACACTTCTACCCTTGTCAGATTCTTTCCTTAGTGTATCACCTGACAAATGGGCATTTATAGGGTGTCTCATGGTTTGTAGTTATTTGATTATGTCTGTTGTTTCTTATCCTTATTTTGTGAAAATTTGTTGAAAAGGAAAAAAATGCTAGTACTAGTAATAAGCTTAGTTCTCATAAATTTAGTGCATTTGAAGTGAAGAAGGAAAGCATTAAGCATGCTAATAGCCATTTTACTGCACCTGAAGCAGACAATTACATGTTTAGTTGGTAGAGAAAAGAACAAAATTAAAGACCCTGGAAAGAATATTGTCTATAGAGCTTTGAAGTCTGCAGAGATTAAAAAGGTATTATGGTTAGGAATTGGTGGCATGTTTCTAGTTTTCTTAAAACCTGGGGATCTGAATTTGACTTTTAGACATGCATTCAGAAGCACATTATGTATAAGAGTAGAAGAGTCTATGTACTGTTTCAAGATTTTCTGTGAAGGGAGGGAGAAAGAGGGTAGCTAGTTAAGGGGATGAGAGACCCCAAGAAAGTTCTTTTTAAAGGGAGGAGCTACAACCTGAGCTGTTTCTTTGTGAAGCAGGAAAAGGCAGAAGACAAAGCAAAGTTGAAGATGTAGGGAGAGAGTAAAACTAATCAGTAGACAGGATTACTTGAAGAGGCAGGATGTATTGAGAACAGTGGTGTTAGGGGCTTATCCTTGGATAGGAGAAAAAAGTGCCACCTTTTCCACTGAGTTTGAAGGAAGACATAATGATGGATTCGAAGGTAAGTAGTACATTTGCACATGGAACTGTAGGAAGTTCATTCTTTCAGCGGTTTCTGAATGCCTACTGTGTGTTTCAGTCTACTAGTTTGGGGATATTTTGTCCCTATCCTTGAAGAAGTGAAGGTCCAGTGAAGAAGGGGAATTTTTTGCTTTATGGTCTTTATATTGTTTTTTGAGGTAAAATGTGAACCTCTTTGGAGTCTTTACTAGTCTCATGGTTCTTCCGATTATCAGGAGTGTTTTAGAGATCATTATCTAAAAGGACTTTTACTTGGGATATGATTTTTTTCTGACCTAGAGATGTAAATTTACTCATAAAAAGCTTGATACTTTATCTTAATTGGTGTAATTCCTTGAAAGTGATCATAGGTCTTTCTGTCATGACAGGTATGGTACTTTCATGTGGCAGTGTGGTTTCACTCTGTTCCACATGCAGTTAAATAGCCATTTATATCATCTTCATCAAACTTTTAAAAAAGCAAATCTTAGTTGATTAATTTTTAAATCAATATTCTTAATGGTCTCTGAAATCCAGGATCAGTCATTGTAGATAGCAGTCCTTTGCATTACAGTCTGAAGATGTACATCAGTGGTTCTCAACTGGGAGCAGTTTTGCACCCCAGGGTAGCTTTGGCAATGTCTGGAGACAGTTTTGGTTGTCACCACTGGGAGTAGGGTGGAGCTTTGGGTAGAGGCCAGGGATGCTGCTAATGTCATATAGGACAGTCCCCCACATCAAAAAATTATTTGGTCCCAAATGTCAAAAGTGCTGAGGTTGAGAAACATCGATGTACGTTAACATTTTAATACTTACAATCTAGTCAAGTATGCTTCTCTACATTATCTAATTTAAACTT